AAGGCAATCATGTCAATGCCACCGCCCAAAACCGAGAAGCAGATTCGAGGATTTATTGGTCGGTTGCAATACATAAGTAGGTTCATATCAAAATTGACGACGATATGTGAACCAATCTTTAAAAAGCTTAAGAAGAATGTACCAGTAATATGGGATGACGAGTGTCAAAAATCCTTTGAAAAGATCAAAGCCTATCTCGCAAATCCTCCCGTATTAGTACCAGCACTTCCGGGAATACCTCTTAGGCTATATTTCACAGTTACCAAAGAGACAGTGGGGGCAATGCTAGCACAAGAAGTAGAAGGCAAAGAAAATGCGATCTACTATCTAAGCAAGAAAATGCTTGAATATGAAGCACGTTATACACCACTTGAGAAATTGTGCCTCGCCTTGGTATGGGCCACAACCAAGTTAAGACATTACATGTTAGTACATACCGTCTTCGTAGTCTCCCGATTAGATCCACTCAAGTATCTATTCGAGAAATCTACACTCAATGGGCGCATATCGAGATGGATAGTCAATTTAGCCCAATTTGATGTAAGGTTCATGCCGCAAAAAGCTATCAAAGGATATGTGGTGTCAGACTTTCTAGCGGACTTTCCAATAGAAGACTCGACGCCAATACACGACAATGAGTTTCAAGACGAAGACTTAATGGTCACTGAAGATGATACTTGGACCTTATACTTCGACGGAGCCTCAAACCAAAAGGGATGTGGCGTTGGAGTATTCCTAGTATCACCTAAAGAAGAGCATGTTCTAATCTCCATAAAGCTTGATTTCGACGTTACCAATAACGCTGCTAAATATGAAGTATGGGTGGTAAGCCTTGAAACAGCTTTGGCATTGGGAGTAAAAAAGTTATGGATATTCGAAGACTCTACATTGATCATCAATTAAATCTCCAAAAGGTGGAAAGTAAGGAGCAAAAGTCTAGCCTAGAGAAGAAACCCTTTCTAATCAGTTAGAGAAGGTAGAATACACATATCTACCTAGAGAAGAAAATCAATTTGCTGAAAGTCTAGCCTCAATGGTTAGGATTCCTACAGAAATCGGGCAAATGCCACTAACTATATAAAAAAGGCACAAACCAGCATATATTCAAGCTATAGAAGATGATGAAGTAATCCAAGATGAAGAAGAAGAAGAAGAAGAACTGTGATATACGGATATACTTAATTATGTCACCAAAGGAGAATACCCTCCCCATCTTGACAAAAGAGAAAAACGAGCATTAAGATTCTAGGCTTCCCAATATGTACTCTGTTAGTTGAGACGAACACTACAAGAGGGGGGGTGAATTGTAGGTGAGTTCCTAGTGACTACTTTTTCAAATATAAAACAGAATAAAAAAGGAACTTGCAATGCACACAGGATTTTACGAGGAAACCTTATAGTGCCCAACTAGAAGTAAAACCTCGACCCTACCTTAGGGATTTCGAACACAAACAATTTCACTATAATAGGGCAAACACCAAGTTACAACCTATTATAATCAAACCTCTACTAAAAAGTTCCTGAATGAACTTGTTACAGAATAGGATTCTATTCTACCCAGTCTAAGTGCCACACTTAGACTCTCTCTCGTACTCCCTAAGCACAGATCTTCTCAACTTCTCAACAGAAGCTCTCTCTGTATGCAATGATAACAAAAACACTCTCACCCAAATAACCTTAACCAATTACAAGTAAAGACACCTAGTATATGATAGGCAAGCTATGTGAAACCCGAAACTAATATGACAAGATGATAAGCTTGGCAAACTTACACAATTAATGCTCTGTAAATTCTTCACGCTTAAAACTCACAAAAAACCTAAACTCCTTTTTTTTCTCTACTATTTATACAAGTATTACTTGTATAGCAAGTAGGTTTTCTTAAAGATAAATAAGTTAAACTTAACTTATCTTTATACACGGTTTTTATGTAAATCATTAGAAGAAAATCTTTTCCGAAAAATAAGATAGAAAGATTGAGTTAAAAAACATAATATCTTTTTAACAAACTAATTTTAAGAAATAAACATTTAAAGAAAATCTTTTTCGAATTTTATCTTTTATCTTTTCCGATTTTAATCTATTTTCCAAGCTAACTTGTCATGCTTCTAATAGACTTCATGCATATCCTACTTAACATATTTAACAATGAATCTAGAAGATAAAATCTTAACTAAAACATTGATGCGCCGCGCTCCTGTACTGATAGGTTTACTTAGGCTCCACGCTTACTAAGTTCCTCCAAAGATCTTAGCCAGCCATCTTCAAGTTCCTGTAAAGGAACTTAAACCGCTTACTAACGCTTTCTGCCTGGTGCAAGCGTATAAGGACCCAAGATATCCATGCACCATTTAGCAAACGGGACTGGGCTGTGGATTACCGTCAGATCAGTAGTCGGACGGTGGATAAGCTTGTCAAACCTCTTGCATTTGTCACACCTCTTTACCAACTCTTTAGCATTTGCTTCAAGAGTAGGCCAAAAATAATGCCGCATGGCTCTAACGGCTAGGGACATGTCGCCTATATGAGAGGCGCAGTGTCCCGCATGCAATTCTTCGAGAACTTCTTTATCCTTCTCTGGGGTAACACACTTCAATAGAGGTTTAAGGAAACCCGCCTTGAAGAGCTCTCCATTTCTCATCTTGAAATTCGTTGCGCGTTTCTTCATGACGGCTTTCTCCTGTAGTGAATGAGGAAGCATGCCGTCTGTTTAATATGCCCGGATGCCATCCATCCAGGTAGAGCTTTGGTCCAGGATTCCAATGGTTTCTTCATATATACTTCTTTTTTTCAGAACTTCCTAAAAGATTGACCGAGGCGTATCACAGCAAGCGGAAGATGACAATTTGGACAATGCATCCGCCTAGTTGTTATCTAACCTGGGCACTTAACTCACACAAAATTCTTCAAGTGCCCCAGCCTCTTCTTTGACTGCCTGAAGATACTTGACCATAGCCGGATGAGTTGCCTCATATTTCCCCTTAACTTGCTTACGACCAACTATAAATCAGAGTAGGCGTCAATTTTTGTTGCCTCTGCTGCCTTACACTTGCAGATTCCAGCTAGCAGGGTTTCGTATTCCTCGTTGTTATTCGAGGTCTAGAACTTAAACCACAGTGCATATTCAAATCTGACACCCTCAGGGGTGATGTATGACATTTATGCCACCATTTTAACCCTTTTTACTACCGATTTCCCCCAAATTTGTCACTTGCTTATGCCTATTTTAACCCCTTTTATCTTGATTTTAGTCACTTTAGCCCCCTCTCGTATTTTTCCTCCCCTTTTTGTCTTTTCTTCTAGTTTTTACCTCCTTTTTATGTGTTTTGACAGCTCCCAGCGCTTATGTGAGATTCACGAATCAATAGCTCGAGTGGAGATGCCAAATGAGCTTGGCAAAGGAGTGGAGATGCCGGGATGGAGAGGGCGCGGGCTTGTAAGCCGCGGGCGCGGACAGGAAAAGTCTGAAGCCAGCAGAAGAAAGTGGAGATGGCAAGCCGCGGGCGCGGAGCATATGTGCCGCGGGCGCGGCATTGGCCCCGCGGGCGCGACACTTAGGCCCGCGGGCGCGGCTTTATGGGTTTTACGAGGCTATTTACCCAGCTTGGAGAGGGCGTGGCTGCCGGTTCGGAGAGCCCTCTCCCTTGCCCTTTTTCTTCCTTTTGGTAGAAGACTATAAATAGTCCCTTGCTTGATTTTCTTAGCATCCACTATTTCATTGGCCCCAAAAATCATTTGTAGAGAGAGAAGTTCATGGTTTCTAGAGAGAGAAAAAACTAGTGTTCAAGATTTCATCTTTGTAATAAAATATTCAAGCTTTCTTCTAGATTGTTGCTACTACTTTGATGATTTGGTAATCTTTAATCTTTATAATATCAATCTTTAATTTTGTTTCTCCAGTTTTTGATTTTCTTTGTTTTATTGCTCTTACTTGAGTTTATTTCCATAAATATTCAAGCTTTATTAGTTTATTTGATTTTCCTTTCAAGTTAGAATCATGTTAGGTTGTGTTGGTATTGAATACATGCTTATGTTAGTTGTTATGGCCATTCCCTTCCTTCTAGCTTAGGTTTTTAGACTAGGGAAGGGGGTGAAAATCATGTGTATTTGAATATCTATTGATTATTGATTGGGACTTATTCTTGAGTTGATGATTTGAGCTATAATATGCTTGGAGTTAGTGTGTGCACCTCTATCCCAAGAATCTAGCCCTTGATTGAATGCATGAGAATGATTTAATCTAGGTGTGAATGATTTCGTCGACTTGCTTAAGTAGTTCCATGAGAATGAACTATTTTGGGTAGAGTTTATACTCCTAGAATCGGTTTCCTTTCGGTTTTCGCTAGTACTCTTTGTTCATGATTGAATCCCGCTTTCCCTAGTGCTTTTGTCATTGTTATCTCTATAATCTTGTCCATTTATTTGCTTTTAAAAGTGTTTAATCTATTTCCCTTATTTCTAGTTTATTCTAGGCTCAATAGTAGTTAGTTTGTCCATAGAATTCTTCAACACAAATTCAAATACCACCTTTTGTTATTAGCAACTTCTCCTCGATTTCGTATTAATTGTCTTAAACCCCCGTTTCCTTGGGAATCGACCCTACCTTACCGCTATCTAAAGCAAAATTTGATAGAGCTAGGATAGGAGTTATAAATTGTAATTTTGATCTAGGATAATAAACTAACGACCTATTGTCCACCGATCAAAATTTTGGCGTCGTTGCCGGGGAAACGGCTAGTTTTGCACACTTATTTGCGTAATTTGTGGATTTTGTTGCTTTTTGTTTAGTTCCTTTTCCACTTGCTAGTCATTGCTAATTGTTTGTTTAGCTTTGGTGTATGCAAAGAAGATCTCAAGGACCACCTACTCACAACCTTGATCACGAAATTGACCGAACCTTGAGACAAGTCCGTAGACTCTATCAAGAAGAGGGAAGAGGTTCTGGTGCAATTTTTGATAGTGAAAGTGATTCTTGTTCCTCACATTCCCAAGGTGACGAAATGGCGGGACAACAAGTGGATGTATTATTCCGTGAGTTTGGTAATCCGGAGGATTATGAGCTCACCGGTGGGATATTGTTACCCGTCACTAAGACTAACTTCACCATCCATCCTCAATACACACGAATGGTTCAAGCGGAGCAATTCTCGGGTTCTCCAAGTGAAGACCCCATTGAGCACCTTGATAGGTTCCTCGAACTCTGTGCCATGATACAAACCAACCAAGTTTCTCAAGAATACATTCGGATGCACCTATTTCGGCAATCTCTTGCGGGGAGAGAAAAGAAGTGGCTCAAGCAAGTCAAACCTAATTCTCTCACGACATGGAGGGAAATTGTGCAAGCATTCTTGAAGAGATTCATCTCCGAGGAGAAAACCGCCGAGATGAGGAGGAAGATATCATCTTTTGAACAAGAGGCGGAGGAGAGTCTTAGTGAAGCTTGGGAGAGGTTTAAGGAGTTGGTGCAAGCATGTCCTCACCATGAGTACAATCAAAGCTTACTCATGAGGTTCTTCTATGATGGTTTGGAAACGATGTCCCGAGCTAATTTGGATGCGGGAGCGGGTGGACAATTGATCAAAGTCCCTCAAAATCAAGTTGAAGCAACGATCGAAGAGGTAGTTAAAAATTACTCTTGGGGAGGAAGAAGGAGGAATGCATCAAAGAAAGGTGGGAAGTATGAGTTGGAGAAGGTCGATCAATTGCAACATCAAATTGAGATGTTGACAAAAGGGCTTGCCAAGTTGAATACAAGTGTTGCTAGTGGTTCAAGCTCCTCCCAAGTCAACTCTTTCTCTTGTAAAAATTGTGGTGGCACCAACCATGATACATCCTATTGTGGCGGGTTGAGCCCGAAGCATGTAGCGACATACAACACAAGGCAAGAAGGGTATAGGGGAAATGGTGGAGGAGTAGCTTGGAGACAACCACCACCCGGATTTGCAAACCAACCTCAACAATGGAATCAACAGGCTCAACAACCATACAATTCCAACACCCAATATCAAAACCCTCCTCCATTCCAAACCCAAAATCAAAGAGGAAACTACCCAAGAAACAACCAACACAATAATCAACACCAATACCAAAATCAAACCCAAGCAACTCAAAGAAGTCAAGAGCAAGCATCTCAACCCGATTCTACTCAAACTCAAATTCTTCAACAACTTCAAGCCATGAATCAACAAATGCAAGAAGTCAAGGCTCATAACAAGATGGTTGATTCACAACTAGCACAATTGGCCGAGAGAGTTTCTTTTAATTCATCTTCCACTTTGCCCGGACAATCACAAACCAACCCTTCCAATATTGTAAAACCCGACTCTTGCAAGGAAATCACATTGAGATCGGGTACATCTTATGAGAGTCCCAAGGAAGAGGATGGTAAGGAAAAGGAGGGAGAAGAAGAGATGAGTGATGATAAGAAAGTTGAAGAAGAGAAGGTTGATGAGAAAGAGAAGAGTATGGAGAAAAAGAAGACTAAGGATGTGGTGACATCCTCAACTTCTAGTGAGGCTAGAAACCTTGATGGACCGGTTCCTTTTCCCGGTCGGCTTGCGGAGAGAAAATTGAATGATAAATTTGCAAGGTTTCTAAGTGTGATGAAAAACTTACACATTAACCTCCCTTTCATTGAAGTTGTCACACAAATGCCTACATACTCCAAGTTCTTGAAAGACATTCTCACCAACAAAAGGAAGCTCAATGATGAGCTTATCACTCTTCCCCATCAAGTGAGTGCACTTGTTCAACACAAAATTCCCAAGAAGCAAAAGGACCCGGGAAGCTTTACCTTGCCGGTCAAAATTGGGAACATGGAAGCTAGGGGTGCCCTAGCCGACCTCGGAGCAAGTGTTAGTTTAATCCCTCTATCCATTGCTCAAAAGCTTAACATTGAGATGATCCCCACTAGGAAAACCATTTAATTGGCCGATCGATCGGTGAAGCTACCTTGTGGCGAGCTTGAAGATGTCCCTATTCAAGTTGGGCATATCTATGTGCCATGTGACTTTGTGGTGATGGATATGGAAGAAGATGTGGATACACCTTTGATCTTGGGTCGTGAAGCTCTTAAAACTTTGGGGGCGGTAATTAATTGCATGAATAATACCATTACATGTGAAGTGGCCGATGAAAAAATTGTCTTTGAATTCTCTAAGCTACTCAAAACCCCCATGGTTGAGAAGTGTTATAGGGTCGATGTTGTCAATGAAGAGCTAGATCGTTTGGGAAGGGTTGTCATGAGTCCTAAAGATCCTATGGCCGAAGCTCTCACATGTGAGGAAGATTACTTCTCCCAAGAAGAAAAGGAATTTTCTATGGCCATTGAAGAAGCCAAAAAGGAAGAAGAGAACGGTACTAAGCATGATGAGCTTGAGCATAAAGAGGAAAAATTGGAGGAGAGTTCTAAGCCCCCTCCCAAGGTAGAACTCAAACCCCTTCCCCCTTCTTTGAAATATGCTTATCTTGGAAATGAAGGAGAATACCCCATTATTGTCAATGCTTCCCTTAATGGTCTTGATTTGGAAAAATTGATTGTTGTTTTGAGAAAATATAGAAATGTGATAGGGTATAGCATTGACGATATTAAGGGTATTAGCCCTTCTTTATGCATGCATCGTATTCACCTTGAGGATGATCAATCCACCTCCATTGAACCTCAAAGGAGGTTAAACCCCAACCTCCAAGAGGTAGTCAAGAAGGAAATTTTGAAATTGCGTGAGGCGGGTATAATCTATGCTATCTCCGATAGCAAGTGGGTTAGCCCGGTTCACGTGGTCCCCAAAAAGGGTGGAATGACCATTGTCAAGGGAGAAGGAGGAGAGGAAATCTCCACCCGGACGGTCACCGGGTGGAGGATGTGCATTGATTATAGGAAGCTGAACAAGAACACTAAGAAAGATCATTTTCCTCTCCCCTTCATGGATCAAATGTTGGAAAGACTCTCCCATCATGCTTTCTTTTGCTTTTTGGATGGATACTCCGGCTTTTTCCAAATCCCTATCCATCCAAATGATCAAGAGAAAACTACTTTTACGTGTCCATATGGGACATTTGCGTACCGAAGAATGCCATTCGGGTTATACAATGCTCCCTCAACTTTCCAACGATGCATGACTTCCATTTTTTCTGAAATGCTTGAGAATGAAATTGAAGTTTTTATGGATGATTTTAGTGTTGGTGGATTGTCTTTTGACACATGCCTTATTAACCTTGAAAAAGTTTTGAAAAGGTGTCAAGAGACGAGTTTAGTGTTGAATTGGGAAAAATGCCATTTTATGGTTGAGGAAGGTATTGTCCTAGGCCATAAAGTATCAAAAAAGGGAATTGAAGTAGACTCAGCTAAGGTTTCGGTGACTGCTAAGTTGCCCCCTCCTACCTCCGTCACGGGAGTGAGAGCTTTTCTTGGGCATGCCGGTTTTACCGGAGGTTTATCAAAAAAATTTCATCTATCGCCAAACCCTTAACCGAGTTACTCAAAAAGGATGTTGTGTTCAATTTTGATGAGGGTTGCCTTGAGGCATTTCAAAAGCTCAAGGAAGCCCTCATCTCTTCTCCTGTGGTGCAAGCTCTGGATTGGAGCTTGCCCTTTGAGCTAATGTGCGATGCAAGTGATTTTGCTGTAGGTGTCGTGCTTGGGCAAAAGAAAGAAGGAAGATCTTGTGTCATCTACTACGCAAGTAGAACCCTCGACGAAGCTCAAAAGAATTATACCACAACTCGAGAAGGAAATGCTAGCGGTTGTCTTTTCCATGGATAAGTTCCGGTCTTACCTCATATGCTCAAAGGTGATAGTCTACACGGATCACATCGCGGTCCGCCACCTTATGACCAAAAAGGAAGCAAAACCGCGTCTCATTCGTTGGGTTCTTTCTCTCAAAGACTTTGACATGGAGATGAGGGACAAAAAGGGGGCGGAAAATTATGTAGCAGACCATTTGAGGCTAAAGAAAACGTGCCTATCAATGAAGAATTGGGTTTAGAGGCTCTTATGGCCATTGCATCAACACTAAGCCCTTGGTATGCGGACATTGCCAATTACTTAGCATGTGGTGTCGTTCCCCCGGAGTTCTCCTCTCAACAAAAGAAAATGTTTTTCAAAGAAGTGAGGAGGTATTTTTGGAACGATCCTTATCTATTCAAGCAATGTGGAGATGGGCTTTTTAGAAAATGTGTTCCGGATCATGAGATCGAAGGGGTGCTTGAGCATTGTCATTCATTGCCATGTGGTGGGCATGGAGGAGTAGAAAAGACCGTGGCTAAAATTTCTCAATCTCTTCTTTGGTGGCCAACAATGCACAAGGATGCCCACAAATTCATATCTAGATGTGATAAGTGCCAAAGAAGTGGGGGCATAACCAAGCGTGATGAAATGCCTCAACAAAATATTTTGGAGGTTGAACCCTTTGATGTATGGGGGGTCGACTTTATGGGGCCTTTCGTTTCGTCTTGTGGCAATCTATATATATTGGTGGCGGTGGACTACATAACCAAGTGGATCGAAGCTATACCCTCGCCCACCAATGACCACAAGGTTGTGCTCAAGCTTCTAAAAAAGATCATCTTCCCAAGATTCAGGGTCCCAAGAGTTCTTATTAGCGATGGTGGTTCTCACTTTGCCAAGAAACAACTTGAAGATCTCCTCAAACGCTATGGGGTTCATCATAAAATCGGCCTACCATACCACCCCCAAACTCAAGGACAAGTGGAAGTATCAAATAGGGAGATCAAGAACCTTCTTGAGAGGATGGTGAACAAGTCTAGAAAAGATTGGTCTCTCAAACTTGATGATACGCTTTGGGCTCTAAGGACGGCTTACAAGACCCCGATTGGTACTACTCCTTACCGATTGGTCTATGGAAAGGCTTGTCATTTGCCGGTCAAGTTAGAGTACAAAGCTTGGTGGGCGATCAAAGGGCTCAATATGGATATGACCTTGGCGGGCGAAAAGAGGCTACTTAAGCTCAATGAACTTGAGGAGCTCCGCTATGATGCCTATGAGAACTCGAAACTCTACAAGGAGAGAACCAAAAGGTGGCACGACCAACATATAAGGAACAAGAGCTTTAAGGTTGGGGATAAGGTTTTGTTATTCAATTCTAGACTTCGTTTGTTCCCCGGAAAACTTAAGTCTAAATGGTCGGGGCCTTTCACAATTTCAAAAACAACTCCTTATGGGTCCTTTGAGTTAGAAGCGAATGGGAACAAGTTCATGGTCAACGACCACCGTTTGAAGCTCTACCATTGCAATGATCAAATTGGCATGATTGAGTGCATGCGGCTCGATTCGCCGGATCCTAAGTCACTTTCTTGAGGATAATGTGAAATGGTCAAGCTAATGACCTTATAAAGAAGCGCTTTTCGAAAGGCAACCCGAATTCTCAACCCTTTTAGATTTTGTGTTTTTTTGTCTTTGACTATTTTTGGATGATTTTTCCTTTAATCTCTTATTGAATGTGTTGTTCATTCTTTAGGTACCTTGATCTTTGGGTGCATGATCTATTAAGTTGGGTTTGGAGAAGAGAAGGAGTTTGGAGAAAGGGGAAATGGAGATGCCCAGAGAGGACCCTGGAGAGGGCACGCACAGAAGGCCCCTTTCCTGTTTTCAATATAAAGCGGAGATGCCTGGGTAATGACTGGAGAGGGCGCGCACAGAAGGCCCCGCGGGCGCGGCCCAAAGGCCCGCGGGCGCGGCTGGGGTTTTCAATTTTTTTCCACATAAAATGGAGATGGCTCAGGGATACAGAGAGCGGGCGCGGGAAGAGTTAGCCGCGGGCGCGGACAGGCACCGCCACGGGCGCGGCCCATAGGCCCGCGGGCGCGGCATCCTGCAGTCTAGAAAAACAGAAACCTGAAACCCTGAAGCCGCGGGCGCGGCATACGATCCCGCGGGCGCGGTCAAAGCATGCCGCGGGCGCGGCCCTTCAGGTCTGCGACTTCTCCTTTTTATTTTCAGCCACATGCCTGAAAACATAATCAGATTTTTTCCCCTTTTCCCTCTCTACTCCTTACTCCATTTCAAACCCTAACCCATTCCTCTTAAATTTCTCTTCCTAATTCATCAAATTCCGTCAAATTTCAACAATTCCCTCACTCTTCTACAATTTTTCTCACCAAAAATCTGAAATTTCATCCTTTAAAACCCCCAATTTCGGAATTCCACTTTGTGTGGCAATTTCTTTCACCATTGGAGGGTTCTTGGAGGAAGTCTTGATTTCTTCTTCAAGGGGATAGTAGGAGCAATTATTGGTATCCATTTTGGTATACATTTCTTCCTTACTCTCATTTACCTTTGAATTTGAAACAAGCTTTTGGTTGAGAAATTGTATGTTTATGTATTTTCATGTTGAAATTTTTTATTGGTGCATGCCTATATTGTATTCATTCATCATCTTAAGCATTATTAATTGTTGAGTTGTTGTTTGTGTTAGTTTGTTCCTTGTCATAGATTGCTTGCTTGTGGTTTGAACTTGGTAATTCTTGGTTTTGGAGATTGTTGTAGTGTGACTATTGTGAGTTATTGTTTTGGAATTGGACTGCAATTTGATATTGGTGACAATGGTTTTCGGTTCTAAGAAGAGAAAAAGTGGGAAGGAACTCCAAGGTTCATCCTCTTCCAACCCCCAACAAAATGAACCTACACCCCAAACCGCTCCACCACCTCTACCACCCCTCAAATTCCACAACAAAAAACACAAACCCATCTATGACAACCTCCTAAACAGAAAATTGAGACCAACCAAGCATTACCATCACTCCACCACAACCAAGCTTGGTATCGATGAGGATTGTTGGTTCTTGTTCAACAACCTCGGACTCGGTTCCTTTGTGTCAAGTGCCTATCGAACCTACAAAGAGCCTACCCTAGAGTTTCTTGCTTCCTTCGAAACTCATGCCGCAGGAGATAATGATCTACATCTCCTTCCAACTCTTTAACAAAAAATAAACCTTCACCCTCCGCAAGTTTAACCAACTGCTGGATTTCAACCCCGATGCCGATATGTTCTTCCCCGAACATGCGGGGCTCCATGCTTATGAGCCCCTTCACTGGTTGAAGGTCATTTCGAGAATGAACGCCTTCAACTCCAAGTACTCTTTAGCCAGTCAGATCATGCACCCAGCCATCAGACATCTGCATCAAATCCTTGGGTACACGGTCTTTAATAAACAGGACTTGGGGAAGATTACAACCGAGGAAATCCGACTATTATGGCTAGCTACGCAGCCGGAAATTGGGCACAGAATGAACTTCGGGTATCTATTCACCAAATGCATTGAGAGTGTCCAGTCGGGTACAAGGAAAGGTGAAATTCATTTTGGAGGGCTGGTAACTCGGATAGCCGAGAAGCTGGGGCATTTGGCTAAGCTCGAATCTTGCACCCCCGTAGGGAAGAGTGATGGGAGTGATATCTGGCTCGACCTCGACCAACTAAAAACTATGAAGTTCATCGCGGATACCGAGGATCAAGGAAAGACTTGGAGCTTACTTGTCTCCCACGAGCACCACTGTTTCCTGCCCAAGCCGGAATTCACTTCTTTCACAAGGGAAGGAGTCAATTACCCATGGTGGGTAAAGAAGGACTCAGGCGTCCTTCCTAGCGCTAGGATGGTCACGGGGGAAGGGTCCGGCCAAAGCAATGAGGGCACAGAGGATGAGTTCCACCAACAACAACAACAACAAGGATCAAGGCAACAACAACATCAACACCAACCTGACTACCAACAACAAATGGAGGCAATGCGAGCCCAAATGGAGAGCATGCAACTCGTCATGCAAGGTATGTTTGCTTCCCACCAACACCTCTCTTACCAAACCAACGCCTTATATGATTTGAGTGTGCGTAGAGGGGATGTCACTCCCCCGGTCAACTACCCTAATGTGCCGGCCCAACAAGGGCCCGTGCCATCTTGGGGGGGTGACAACCTACCTACGTACCCATATTGGCAAGGGACCTCGGACCCTACTATGCCTGGGCGTGATTTCCCTGATAAGTCCGGTCATTATGATTATCGGGTTTCGGGTGGGAGTGATTACAGGGGTGATCCTAACTACCCCTATGTCGACCCCTCTCACCCCGACCCCCTTGTCCAACCCGAGCCATATGACCAGTTATCCGCGTCCCAGCTTGACCTCTTCAAAGGTCATTATGGGTGGCCACCTGGCTACTCCGGAGGTTGGGACCCCTATGGCCCTCCATCGGGTTTCTCCTACGACGATGGGAGCGCGGATAACGACGGTGTCGGCTCTAGTAGCCATTAGTTTCCCCCTTGTTCTTTTTGTTCCCTCCCTTTTTCTTCCCCCCCTATTACTTGTCCTCACGCCGCATCGAGGACGACGCTCTACTCTAGTGTGGGGGGGGGGGTGTCTGAGTCAAAGGAGAGTGTTAGGGAATGCTTGAGGCGAGTGTGGGGGAAGGCACCTAGGACTCAAGGGACTATTTAGGGGTTTTGGGTGTAGGTGTTGTTGGTAGCGTTGTTGTTGTCTGGTGTCTATGATGTCCGTTTCTATGATGATGATGATACGATGACAATGTTTTGATGATAATGAGACTATAATGATGGGATGTTTGGGTAGTAGGTCATACCCAAAGAATTTAGTTCATGGATTTTTTTCTCTCTCTCTCTCTAGTACTAACGTTCTTTTCTTTTTAGTGCTTGCCTTGTTTTTCTTTGTTTTCCTCTCTTTTGTAGCTTGGAAGAAATTGAAAGCGACATGTGGAGGCACGGTAAATCGCTTGGTTGCTTTATTTTTTTTTTTCTTCAAGAGACATTGGTGAGATCTTTCCTTTACTTTTCTTTTCTTTTCTCGTGTCGTGTTTAGTTTAGGCTTTAGCTTAGGAAAGAGTTGAATGGTTCGAGGATGTTTGCATGCGGTTCCAAGGAACCTGGGATCGTTGGTATTGAGACCGAACGATCACTTGTATGTCGATTGGGATTTATTTGAATCTTTAAGCCTCTCATATGGACCTTCTTGATTCTCTCT